ATATATATATATATATATATAAACACCAACAATATATATATCATGTCGTGCAATAGGAGCAAACACTTCTTTTTAGTCAACACTAAATTCTTGCTTATAGCCTTTAGCCACTAAGCGTGCCTTGTACTTATCAAATTTTCCATTTTCCTTCAACTTCGTCTTGTACACCCATTTGACACCAATTGTCTTGTGTCCTTTTGGAAGATCTGTCAACTCCCAAGTCTTGTTTTTCTCAATAGAAGCAATCCAACAACCATAACTTCTTGCCATTTTAATTCTTTGATTGCTTCTTCAAATGTTATAAGGTCACAATCTAAAAATAGGGCAAAACAATTAAGTGGATCCTCAAACCACGAAGGATCTTTGATTTCAGTCAAAAAGTAAGATTAAATGGTTTCAATATTTAATGGAAACAACTTGTTGGAACTCATTGTATGACAACAATAACACCTCTAATAGGATCATAAATTTCACGAGCACCTTGTATAATGATAATGCCATATCCTTTTTATTGTAACTGATCAACACTTAACAAGTTACTTTTTAAATCAAGAACATACAATACATTTGAGATTGTTTCCTCAAAACCATTTTTGGTTTTTATTTTAATATCTTCCTTACCCATCACTTCTACGAAAGAAGAATCACCAAAACTAACAGTTGAATGAAAGTCTTCATTTAGATGAGAAGTAAAACACTTCCACTCATATGGTTACTACATCCTGTATCCACATACCAGATACTTGGTTCAACATTCTTTGTCTTGAACAACCATCAATAGAGTCTCCCTTTCCTCCTTCTCTTTCATCTCAACTAGATTAGAACTATCTCATTTTTTTCTTGTTGCAAGGCATCTGAGTATAACATTCAGAAGCATAATTTCCAAGATTGTAACATCTAAAGCATTCTACGTCAGATTTATCATCCAAACCTTGAAATTGATCATTGTTGCCTTTGAAATTTTTGCTAGAATCTTTGACTTTTGATCCCTTCGTCCTCTGTCTCTTTCTCTACCTCTACCTCTATCCCTTTCTCTAAAATTGTTGGAATGAGTATCAGTAGAAGCTTTCAACGCTTGTTCCTTAACTTCTAATTGTTCAAACTTCTTCTCATGCACTAATAACGAACTTTGCAATTCATCAAGTGAAAGTTCATCAATGTCATTTGATTCTTCTATGGCACATACAACAAGGTTAAACTTTGGTGCCAAAGATCGAAGTATCTTTTCTATAATGGTATTTTCTTCAGCTTTGTCTCCAAAAGTGCATATCTTGTTGACAATAGTCATCACCCAAGAGAAGTAATGTGAAATTGATTCTTTAGACTTCATTCGAATTGTTTCATACTCAACCTGAAGAGCTTGAAGCTACTACCTCCTTGCTCTTGTAGACCCTTGATACTTCTTTTTCATTGAATCCTAAATATCCTTAGAATTTTCTTTGTTGAGATGGATAAATCAATTAATGGCTTGAAATAAATAGTTTTTAGCTTTCAAGTCTTTTGACTTTTGTTGTTCATTAGTACTAGTGAGCACCACACTAGTTTTTGGATCTTAAAAAAATTCTTCATTAACACACTCCAATACTCATATTGATCATCAAATTGAGGAATAGCAGGTTGCATGAAATTTTCTGTTGCCATAGTTCCCTTTAATTTAAAAATGTAGAATAGGAATCAAAATGGAAAAAATGACAGATTTTCAGCCTCACTTCTCGATGTTGCCCTTTAACCTTTTTGTGTTTAAGCTCTCACACTTTCCTTTTTACACACAAATATCAACCAAACTCTTGATATCACTATTAGATAGTTGAGATAATAAAATTTACAGTAGAATAAAGAAATATCCTGAAAGTGTATTTTCTTTATTGATCCATAACCTATATATAAGTAATACAGCAACAACCAGTCACTACTAATTTTTAATTCTTTAGCAACATTTTCTTGTTTATATTTTGTTAAAATGTTACTATATATTAAACAAATAGGTTATTTTGCAACACTTTTTTAAAAAATGTCATTATAGATAGAGTAACATTTTTTATTTCAATATATTATTCTTTCTAATTGTTTTCAAAATCAAAGTTTCATATCGAGTAAAAAAATTTTACATAGGTTATTTTGCAACATTTTTTTTTGAAAAATGTTACTATAATTGCTTCTAAAATCAAAGTCTCACATCGAGTAAAAAAATTATATTTCTCTTATCTTTAATTATTATCCATAATTAAAGTCCCACATTGAATAGATTAATGACTTATAAAGAGTATATATAACCATATAGTTATACTTAAAATAAATGAAATTTAATATTTTATATATAATTAGTGGTAATTAATTAAGAATGTCTTTAATCTTGAACTCTTAGGAGTTTAAGAGGCATAATAAAAATATAATAATTGATAGTAATATATCTTAATTAAAATTAATTATTATTTTATAAAATTAACAAAATATTAGCAACATCATTAAAATGTTACAAAAATACTATTTTGGTAACATTTGAAAAATGTTGCCTAATTATATAAAATTGTTATTAAAAGTCTTTAACAACATAGACTATATACAACATTTGATAATAATATGTTACTAAAGTAAATTAGTAACATTTATAAATAATTAAATAACATTTTTTAAATGTTGCTAAAAAAAATTATGTGTTGTAGGAACCAGTTTAGAACGTGGACTATGCCTCTTAGCGTAACAACTACTAAACTCCTTAAAACTAAGAATAAAACAACAAATTTTGAGACTTGGTGAAACAGTAGCTGCAGCGTCAACTTATTTAACATATTAGTCAGAGCACACAAATTAAAATGCTCATTTACACGTACACAATAACGAATACAACATGCATGCAATATTGCGGTTGCTGAAACCACATTTGCACTTATAATTGGAAGAAAACAAATTAAACTTTAAACCACGCATGGTTAATGACGTAGTTTCATGGCTTTCCAGTTGGTGCAGTTTGTCATTTGGTGGGAAGGCGATTAATCGACGCAAGGGCACTACTGACGGCTTGAGAAGATTCAACAACCTTGGGCCTAATGGAGTCCCTTAGTTTGGCATCCGCGTTGGGCCCATCAAGCCCGTCAAGACAGTCGGTTTGATCGGTGATGGCAGCGCTAACCCAAGTCTTGACATTATTGACGTGCAACGCTAAATCCTCATTGGGCTTACCCACAAGCCCAAGCTCCTTAACCGATTTGGTCAGATGGTCCACGCTGCTAGTTATGGTCTCTATGCAGTCTTGCACCGCCTTGTTCGCCGGGCTCAATGTCTTCAGGAACGCTATGCATGATTGGGTCTTTGTCACGCTCGCGGAGAGGGCCGTTAGGGCTTGCTGTTGCTCGCCTTGCCCACTGCTTGTTGATACGTGAAGGACCACGTTTAGGATTACAAAACAAAAGCCTACAAGTTTTGCTGCCATGCTTTTTTCTTTTTTGTTCTTGTCAAGAATGGAATGTTTCTTTGGTGTCTCTTATGCCAATGTGGTCGACACTTATATATGGCACTGTTCCTATTTTCATGTTTTCATTCTTAAATTTGAAACCATCTGGTTCATTGTTCCCTTCTTCCTGCAGTGAATTCCGGTATTGCCACCACTTGCATTTCTTCTTTTCTGCATTATTTCAATCCACATGTTTTTGTATTCGTCTTAAGACTCGCACCACAAACACTTGCAATCACTAGTGCGATTATTGGTTGAGTTTCAATTCTAAATATATAACTATTAAATTTTATAGAGAGAACAATGTCATTCGTACCGACAACATCTTGAGGTGTATTTGTATATACACGTTCAAATTCTGTTACACCAATCCGGATCAATTTTCTTTGGTCATGTTTTATTCTTAAGAATGTGTGCAAAGGAGGTTGAAACAATAAAATAAATACACTTGACTGTGTCACGAATAAAATCAATTTTAGACACTTCAACTTTTCTCTATTGAAAAAAAAACATATTACTTCATTAGTGTTTTATTTTAAGAAATAATAATTCAAGAATAACACATCTATGTTAAGTTATCAACAGTCAACTCTAAAATAATGAGGTAAAGGCAGTTCCAAGTTGAACTTGAAGCAAAGGAAATAAAATATTGAAGCACAGTTCTTAGCTTCTATATATATGTGTGTCTGTCCCGAAAATCGAATACTGATTTTCGTACGGCATTGACTGTTTTTCAGTTAGATTGGAACCGAATGAACTGATTAATGAAGATTGAATAAGTTAGGTTTGGTAGACAACCTAGCTTGCACATGTATGTCTGGTGTGTTATATATTTTGGATTAAATTAAATAATATATAGAGGCGCACTCTTGGAGAGTAAATTCACATGAATAAAACCTAATGGGACGATGAGCATTTGAGACCCAATCCCTCAAGTTAAAGGTCTGCCTTGAGAACCTAATGGAACGAAACGAAGATAATAAATTACGTGATCGTATATGTATTTTCGATAATGACATATTTTAATCATGGTTCAATTCTATTAGCGGATAAACCATAAATTTGGTTCTAGGATATTTTAGATATATAATTTTTTTCAAAGCACTCTTAGCGTATAAAAGTGAAATATATTTTAAGATTTTGTTCATAATTATTCATAATATATATCTAGCATTCTTGGCATCCAAATATATATATATATATATACACACTTATATAGCTATATTGTTGTTGATGTAACGTAGACGAATTTACCTCAGTTCCCTGAACATGACCAAATAGTCTAGAGCAACACCGATTTAGGTCTTCACCTTCAAAGATGCATGTTTTATTTTTGAACCTCAACAACCAAGATTTTCCTTCTTGTAAGTTAATATGGAAAATAATCATTTCATCCCCTCGTCCAAATCTTTTATGATACGAATACACAAATTTGGAAGAGAGAATAAAACTTTCAAGATGAAGATGTGAAAAGAACAAGAAAATACATGCTGTTATTTCATTTTGTATTTTAAACACGTTTTGGTCAACTTACATATATATTTTCAAACTAAAAGACCAACACAAAATGATTTACCAACGTGGTCTGCAAGTATCATCTCCAAATACATGATAACAGCTAACAACCTTAATCTTGTCCAACAAGTGGGCACCTTCAAAAGTCCATTTGGAGACATGAACATGATATAAAAACACAATATTGGACATTTTAAATAATATAAAAAAAAACTACGAATTTTGTGCTATCAAATTTAGTTAGAGTTCGGCACATAGCCCAACTTTAGCCTTTAATTCTACTTATATTGTTGCTACAATTTTAGACTTTTAGTTATGATAATTATCATGTTGCTACATCAACATCATTGATATTATGCTATTTATTTATATATGTTGGGTCGAAGGAGTTTAAACATCAGAGAGCATCAGTGATAGTAAGTAAGTCACATTAGTAAGTTTAATACTATAATATAATTCAAAATCTTAAGACACTAGATATGTGAACCCTTCTCATTTATATATTATTCAATATATCAAACTTTAATTAATATGAGACACACTTCACATTTGAGCTCCAACGCTCTCTTTCAAGTGTAAATCTCTTTCACATGACCATACTCCCTTCTTAAAGAGAAGGTATTTTTCATCCACGAATATTCAATAGTGATATACTTATATCGTCGTTGTACATTAACGGAACACATCATCCATATTTCTAGGGAGATTTTTTTGATACAATGATGATCTCACTCTTTGAATCTTTATATCAATTTCATTCTTAGTGTCCACAACTAATCACTATTTATGGCAAATCGTTGACTTTTGTAATACACAAGAAATAATTTCAATAATGATAAAACCAATATATCCCTTAACCCTTAACAAGAAGTTAAAATCTAATTTTTTAAACACACAGATTAGAGATTGAATATTTCATCAAGACATATATTGTTGGTAAAAGGTGACAATAAGATTGAAACATATATATAATTTTGTACATATTACTTGAACTTCTCATAACTACCACACATATTCTAGTTGGGTTTAAAATTTAAATTAATTTATCAAATTCAATAATTTTGTGTATTACTTTATTTTATTTTAATTTTCAAGAACTGCTTATTCCAACATTGCTCCAATTCATAACTTTGTCTAAAAACAATTATAATATAAGCTTTCTAATTTTTTTTCAGATTTTTTATATTTAAATGCTCTTAGATCTTTTACTTTTTTAAAAAAATTAATCATCATGGTATTTTATAATTTACATTTATTAACAGGATATGTATTTTAACTTGTGATATATTTTATAATTTTATAAATTATATTTTAAATTTATGATATATTATTTATATTGTGATATAAGATTATTAATTATTGATAATTTATTTTAAAAATATTAAAATTTATTTATAAAATAAATATGATAAATAAAAATTAAAATAAATAAGTTAAAAGAATTTTTAAATTTTCTCGTATCGAAAAATAATGACTTTATATTGAAGCAGATATTTTTCGTTTAAAACAGACAAATCGCCCTCAATCTAGCTTACAAGGTTTCTAGATGATCCTTAAGCAAGCTTATCCATCACGCACTATCAAAACCCATTGGAGAATCATAAAGTTGGAATCTAGTATTCATGATCAGGATAATTAAAAGTTAGATATTAAGAAGAAGAAGAAGAAAAAAAAGATAGAGGAGAGTACCATTATAATGTAATGATTTATATTTTAGACTTTTCCATTTATAAAATTTGTAAGTCATAGACAAATCATGATTTAATAAATGAAATTGTTTGCAATTACTTTTTATCGATAGAAAAGGGCGATACGTAGTGTTGTTCGTTTGTTCCACCTCCACTAAGAAAAATACACACCCTTGCTACCACCGCTTGCGCCAATTGCTGCGCAATTACACCAAGCAATAAAATAAATTATATTTAAAAATTTAATAGTGTGTTTGGATGAAAAATTTTACAAATTCAAGGAATTTGAAATTCTTAATATTTGAATTACTTTGATTTCAATTTTTATCATTATTAAAATATTTTGTTTGGATAAGTTAATTTGAAATTTTTTAAATTTTAAGTTATTCAGTTGAATATAATAATTTGATTCTATCATGATAAAATTAATTTTAAAAATATATTTATATGTTGAAATTTTTAAATTAAATTTTATAAAAATAAATATTAGTTAATTTTTAAATATTTAATAATTTTAAAAATTAATATTAGATGATATTTAATAATTTTAAAAATATTTTTGAATATTCAATAATTAAAAATATGAAGAGATTAGAGATAAGATAAAATATATAAGTAAAATAAGAAGAAAAAAATATGAGAAATTTTAAATTCTTACATTTTTTGAAAGAATTTAAAATTTTACTATTTCAAAGAATTTTACAAATGTTTGAATTTCAAATTCTTTATAAATTTTCCATCCAAACAAAAATATTTTATCTCAAAAAATTTGAAATTCTTCAAATAAATGAATTAATCCATTTAAATGAACTCTAACTCCAACAAGACACGAAAATCAATGCATTTTAGGTTGGTCAGATGAGAAGGAAACCATTTTTGGTATTTGACCAGAAAAACAAGGCAACTTGCCTCACAAGCTTCCACGAATATTACATACTCCTAGTGGTAAGTCACTACAAAAAAAATGTGTGATTTGTGGCGGTTATTTTGACAGTTTCTGGTGGTTAAAAACCGCCACAAATGGTATTACCAGCGTCACTCACGACCGCCGGATCCACAGTCGCCAAAAACGTTTTGCGGCGTATATTTTTAAACGCTGGTGTTGGGTGTCA